AGTTTGTGGATGCAAACATATTGCATTTGTTGGTTAATAGCTCCTAAAAACTGTCAAGAAGTTCTCACGAAATGTGGTGGCAAAAAGAGCGGCGTCTACAAAGTCAACCCTGACGGCAAAGGAGAATTCAAGGTAATATCTACAGTATTGTTACAAGACTCAACTCGGGATCTTGATGTGATTCGTTTTTGCTTTATTCAACTATTGACTCATTCTAGATATTACAAGGTATTTTCTATGCTACAAAATCAGTTAAAAATCTATTTACGTAAGCTTTGACATTAGAAGCAGAATTCCTATTGGTAATGGTACTAAAAAGGGCGTAATCACGAATTTAATTAACAACGTCAACTTTAAGATGACGCAGTACAGAAAAACACTTTTAAAAGATATATCTTGCTTCTAGCGTTAAGTCCTAGAATTCAAAATTAATGATTCGATACTAGATAGATTTTCCTATATACCTTGCTATAAAATATTAAGTATTATTCGAATTTGAGTAGTAAACGAGAGCAATCTAATTTCATAGTTAAGTGTTTTGTAAACATTGATACGACCTGATTCTAGCTTAGGATGATAGACAAGTCCTTCAAGTAGCACCTAAGTAAACTTTTAAGGAAAAACAGGAAAATTGTCTTGAATAACCTATTAGTTAAGTCAATGAAATGTTGACCTAAAGGGAATGTAAACAACTTATTAGAAGTAACATGTCCTGATTGGTCTTTAAATATATATTTGACATTGTTGCCTAGAAAACTAATTTTTAAATGAAAGGCAATTATACGAATAAACATAGAATGACTCTCGTATGCAATTATAATGATCTCGAAGTTAAACTATTATCACTAAAGCTCTTAAGTTAATATACCAAATCAAATTATATAATTATTTGTTTTGTTTTGTAATGCTGAATTTCTAAATACCATAGCTGTCCCTATGATAAATGTTAAATAATGTCATTGATAATGATAACAAACGCGTACTGATAAAAATCTGAGTTACCTTCTTCTGTTGCCATACAATTCATGCATATTTTTGTGCCGTGCATCATTCGCTGTTTGTGCCACATAACATGACATAAGAAATGTAGCTCTACGCACTAATTTATGTGCAAAATGATAGGTTTACTGTGACCAGAAGACTGCAGGTGGAGGATGGACAGTCTTCCAGAGAAGAAAAGACGGTTCGGTGGACTTTTCCCGAGGATGGGTCGACTATAAGAATGGTTTTGGAGATCTTAATGGCGAGTTCTGGCTTGGTCTCGACAAGATCCATCGATTGACCCATCAAACACGAAACCGTCTTCGTGTTGAGATTGAAGACACTAAAGGAAAGAGCGCGTATGCCGAGTACGACTTGTTTGATGTGACGAGTGAACGAAACAAATACAAGTTAAGTCTTGGAACTTACTCAGGTAAATTAAATGTGCCAGACACGAACTCCTTTATGCCAGATACAAATTTCAACCGCTTGATTGGCGGACATTCAAAAACTCATACATAATTAATGAGTTATTAGGCCAATAGAATGAGCCTATTTGCTCACATGAATATGTGTATTCAATGTGGGATGATAAGAGTGCTTTGTTAAGTGTTTCGCGCATGATAATTTTTCCCCATTTATGTCAAAACTTATTTTTACGGCAATTTCTCCCAGGAATATACGGCTTTGAGTTTTAAATTAGTGTTTGAGTTTTTTAAAGCCGTTTAAGAGTTTTATCAGGTATAAAGATTCTCTCTCGTGTTTTAAACTATACCAATTCAATCATCTGAAAATCTCATGATATACAAGAGGTTGTCATCCACCAATTAATATTTTCAAAAGCTAATAAGAGTTAAATTATGGCTTTAAATGTGACTACAAAAACAAACAAGCAAAAAAAAGAGAAAAGAAAAGTAGAAAGAAAGAAAAGGAAAGGAAAAATAAACTTGAGAAAAGAATGTGCTAAAAAAAATCCGCAGTATCTCTGCGCCCCAATGATAAAAGCCACAAAAAATATCAACAACGTTAACAATAGTTATAAAAGATAAAAATCGACATATTGGTACGACGCTGTGTTTCCTGCATTTCAGGTACTGCAGGTGATTCCCTGTCCTACCATCGTAACATGGCCTTCAGTACCAAAGATCGTGACAATGACAAGTACGGTGGTAACTGTGCAGCTTCATACAAGGCTGCCTGGTGGTATAACAGCTGCCATTATTCCAACCTTAATGGTCAGTACAAGTACCGCGGTACCATTTCAACCAGTGGTGTGCACTGGTACTACTGGAAAAACAGCCATTATTCCCTTGCAAGAGCTGAGATGAAGATGAGACCGCAAAAGAAATGAGCCGATGACGTAATCATGTATGTTAAAACCGCAAAGGACATAAATATAGATAGGTAAAACAGCATCAGTTCAATTTATTGACTGTAAGAATAAGCTTTAGAAAATTAAAAACGATTGCATTCAGCCTGGATGTTACTGGACTCTTCGTTTTCTGCTCGTGATTCAAAACCTTTGTCGTGTTCTCCCAACCATCCCGTGTTTCTAAGTGAGAATCGGAAAATCTCTTCACTTTTCAGTATTTCCTGCTAATTTTTTTCATTATTCAATGAAAAGATCATTAATTTAAAATACTTCATATTTATTCTCAATATGGCTTTGAAAAAGGTCTAGGTAAACAAGAAATTACAAGACAAATATTGAATTAATAAAACACATGCTTGGGTAATAAGTACCGGGGGAAGGTCGTCAGACTGAATTTTTCAAAAAAAAACCCACATCGTTCAGTTTTTCAAATCCATTCCGTATTATGCCATTGGCCGGACCCATTTTGATACGTACAGAAAGCACCATGTATATCGACAGTTAATTTTCCGAACTATGAACTCGAATAATGAATAAACAAATTCGTGTAAAG